TCCAAAAGCAATAATGTTTCCTTGAGAAATTATTTTCCCGAAAAGTAGATAATCTACTTTTCGGGAAAGTAGATAACCAACTTTCCCGGAAAGTAGATTATTTCCCATTTTTTATGATACAAATACAAATTTCCCGTTTTCTATGATAATCTACTTCGCAAAATTAGGTAATTTTTCCCAAAAAGTCAATAATCTGTTTCCCCGAAAAGTCGATAATCTACTTTCCCGAAAAGTAGATAATCTACTTTTCGGGAAAGTAGATAACCAACTTTCCCGGAAAGTAGATTATTTCCCATTTTTTATGATACAAATTTCCCGTTTTCTATGATAATCTACTTCGCAAAATTAGGTAATTTTTCCCAAAAAGTCAATAATCTGTTTCCCCGAAAAGTCGATAATCTACTTTCCCGAAAAGTAGATAATCTACTTTTCGGGAAAGTAGATAACCAACTTTCCCGGAAAGTAGATTATTTCCCATTTTTTATGATACAAATTTCCCGTTTTCTATGATAATCTACTTCGCAAAATTAGGTAATTTTTCCCAAAAAGTCAATAATCTGTTTCCCCGAAAAGTCGATAATCTACTTTCCCGAAAAGTAGATAATCTACTTTTCGGGAAAGTAGATAACCAACTTTCCCGGAAAGTAGATTATTTCCCATTTTTTATGATACAAATTTCCCGTTTTCTATGATAATCTACTTCGCAAAATTAGGTAATTTTTCCCAAAAAGTCAATAATCTGTTTCCCCGAAAAGTCGATAATCTACTTTCCCGAAAAGTAGATAATCTACTTTTCGGGAATGTAGATAACCAACTTTCCCGGAAAGTAGATTATTTCCCATTTTCTATGATAAAAAATTCCCGTTTTCTATAATAAAATTTCCGTTTTCTATGACAATGTAATTTTCGAAAAATTATGTAATCTACTTTCCTGAAAAGTAGATATTTCCCGTTTCCATTAACAAATTTCCCCCCTCCCCACTCCTCAACTTCTCTTTGTATTACAGGTCCAAGGAATAGATCTCACCAAAATCATCACCTCATTACTACGGGGTATATTGAAATACATGCAGTAGTTTTAATAACATATTTATTTTATTGTTTGTTAATATATTCTATCAGTATGTACAAAAATAAACAAATACAAATTAAATCTGCTCAAATATATGACAACCGAGTGACAAAATAATGAACACAAAAGTAAAGACTTATTTAGTCTAGAAACTACGATGAACAACGTGGTCTATCCACCACACGAAACCTCATAAATAAGTAAGTTATTTTCCGTGGAACTCTAAAATATGATTAACAAGAATCTTTCACAAATAATACTTTTCTTGTGTTATAAAAGTCGAGCAAGGTTTACACGTTATACCACTAGAAACATACTGTACAATAAGAAAGGCGATACTCTGTACTTAACTAAACACTGCCGGGCCCATAGTAAACAAAGTGAGCTAAAGCGGGCAGAAATAAGGTCACAAACAAGACGTTCACGTTGGGAATCCACAACCAACCATGGAACGCTCACTCGTAACATCTCCCCCCTTAATTTAAAAGTTTAAGCTCTGAATAAACTTTTATTCAACACGAGATAGAGTGGTGGAAATATTATCATCACAGCCCTTTGTGTTTGATTTCTATATTAATGGGTTGAAGAGCTAATGACCACCGTAACAGTCTTTGATTCTTATTTCTCATATTATGAACAAACTGAAGTGGATTATGATCTGTATAAACTATCACTGGGTAAGGTGATCCACTTACATACACCTCAAACTTTTCCAGAGCTAACAAAAGGGCCAATGCTTCTTCTTGTGGCATATCCACGTTGATGCTTTTTCAGTTTGGCCGAGAAATAACAGTTCGGGTGCAATATTCCATCTTTTCCTTTTGCATCAACACAGCACCAACTCCTGTGTCACACGCATCCGATTGTATCACAAACTGTTTCTTAAAGTCTGGGAGTTGCAGTACAAGAGCCGTCGCCAACAACCCATGAACTTTTTCGAATGCTGTCTGGCATTCATCAGTCCACACAAACTTTCTTTTTGGACTGTCATGGAGTGACCACCATGGCAAAATTTAGACAAAACCTCCTGTAGAATCCAACCATCCCGAGAAATCTTCTTAGAGCCTTTCGATTGCGAGGTGCGGGTAGACTGTTATATGTAGTGATGATGGATGGTGTTATATGTAGTGATGATAGATGATATATGTAGTGATGATGGATGGTGTTATATGTAGTGATGATTAGACAATAAAATAACAGTTTAATGCTGATAATCTGCATGAAGACAGTACAGAGCAACATAATCATATGTAGTATGGAAGTGCCAGACTGCCGGTCGGAACAAATGTCGCGAGTGTAGACACTGGACGTTAAGCGTGGGGTCTTGTATGTACACCCGGCACAGGTGGTAAATTGGTGTCTCCTCAGCAACTTCACAGGAGATCAAGTATCCTCCTAACCAGCACAGGTACTTGATAATGGTCCCGGGAGGAACAACACAGAGGCTCGGGTCCTAGCTGGCGTGCTGATGTACAAGGCGAGGAGGGCAGCAGTTCACACTAACCTGACCAAAAGTGGAAACGAATGCGGCATTATGGTTTATCATGATTAATATAACATCTGCAATAATAGAGAAAAATACAACATGTAACTTGTAATATGACTTGAAAATAACAGTTTAAGCTGTATTGGACGGTATTCACTCAGGATGTGTTCATATGAGAGCTTTCAGCAAACCAGCTAACAACAGGGTATCACTATGACACACTATAGTATTTGATATGAATATACCTTCCTAACAACATTATTCACTACCTTTGAGTGATACATGATGGCTTAATTTGGCTACTTGTACACTTAGACAACTCATCAATGAATAAACCAGGGTATAGGCAGATACATAATACTGAACACTACAATATTGCTTATAAAGTGATGATAAATACACTACATTAGTATTTATTAAGTGGTACTGATTTACCAAGAGTCGACAGGTGTGGTAACCTGGCACCAAATGATCCTAAATGATATGAGAATTATGATGAAATTACATAAAGACGTTCAAGGGAACTTGGGGGAGAGTCACCTACCCACCCACCCTCTCCCCACCTACAATATACTGCTACAATTACGTCTTAATTGTATCTTTTTAGTACAGTAAAGTTTACAGTTTTCGCTTTATTAAGACAAATTCTGTGGTTACTCTATACACACACGTTAATTTGAACAATACACAAGAATATCATAACTCTTTCTCACCATTTATTATTTCTTCTGTCGTGTACTGGTGAGGTTGGGTGTGTGTGTGTGTGTGTGTGTGTTAGTCGTCTCAAAATAGTCATACACACCATCTTATTGATTTCCTTAGCGATCGCGTGAAACTTTCCATCGAAACAGCAACATTGTGTTCACTTGTTGATGTTAGAGGTCTCACACATGGACAGGTAAAAGGAAAGTGTTGCTGTGTTAATGCAAATATTCACGCCACCTCCACGAAGCTCTGTAAGGTCGTGTGGATAATTTATTGAGACACCCTGTACTGTATCCCTTATCATATTTTGCATATTTCTCTACACCCTTCGTTGTCTATATTTAATTTTTATCCATTTTCATCCCATTCCTTCGCTGTTTCTTCTCTTGTTCCTATCATTATAACTCCTCCTCCTCCATTATCATTACCTGCTTCTCCTCCTCATCTTCCTACATCATTACCACCACCTCTTCTTTCATCCTATCTCGTTTACCCCCGGTTTCGTCTTGGCGACCACCACAGGTAACACGATCCCAACGCTGTTAATTACCACTCACAGGTACAAACCCCAGTGCTTAATGATTCTATTACGTTGGCGTCACTTTCCCACGTTTGATGTCACTCGCCATCACACTCCACCGCCGTCACCCACTCCACCACCATCACCCACTCCACCACACTATCACCCACTCCACCACCATCACCCACCACACTATCACCCACTCCACCACATCACCCACTCCACCACACTATACCATCACCCACTCCACCACCCACCACTCTATACCATCACCCACTCCACCACCCACCACACTATCCCATCACCCACTCCACCACCCACCCCACGATAACATTATTGTGTTCTATAACCTTAACTTTTCACTGACACGAACTCTGCAAACTGTGTGGACGTTTCAGAATGTAAATGTTGTTGAAGTGGGAATGTTGCAGATTTTGGGGAGGAGGGAAGGGGGGAGGGGGGCGTGGCAAATAGAAAGAATACAGGGAAAAGTTATATAATCGTGGAAGTAAAGTAGTTTGGGCACGGCCGATGACTGTGGCGAGAAGCGGGTAGGTGTGGCGGATAGTCATGGTGGATAGATAGTGTTCTGCCATCACCTAGGGGAGAATATTAACCATTTATCACCTTAATGTGTTTGTCTAAGGTAATGAACACTGTACGTGAGTGTTCCTTCATCATCGTCCACACACCTTATTGATCCAACAGTTTTAAGGCTTTATATATACTGTACTGTACACACACAGTGGATATGTTCTTTATTCCCCGTTTCTGTGGGACATGGTGGACACGTACCCTTGTTAGACATACGTGCCTCCAGGACACTCTACAGTTGTGGGGGTTTTGTAGTATTTTCCCTTTTTTAATAATAAATTTATTTTGTATTTTATGATATTTTTCAACTTTTGTGTGATTTTTTCCATTCTTATTTTTAACGTTTTTGAATGCTTAATGTTTTTATCATATTTACTCACAATTTCCCTATTTTATGATCAGGATTTATATAAAAAAGTATTTAGATTAGAGCAGTGAAATATTGTACCTGGAAACATTTCATTAATTGCACCTATAAAATTCTGATTAAATATTCACAGAGTTTAATTAATTGATGTTTCTTGACACGTGTGTTGAATTGGATTAAGTTAAATATATTAATTGTACACCGGTGGAGGAATATATATAAAATAAGTGAAAGAGTTGGCCAGTAATGACGGTGTGGCGTGTGGTCTCCTCTAACAGGGGCTGAAGAAGAAGTCCGCTCTACTGCCAGAACCTCCGGCCAACAAGGTGTTTTCTCAGCTCCAGAACCTGACGAAACATAACCCAGCCTGTGAGTAACTTACTGTTTGGTTTTGTTGTGAGTAGTTGTGGTTGTGAGGTAGTCTTGTGGTGGTTGTGGTAGTGATGAGTTAGGGTGTGTGGTTGTGGTAGTGTGCTTGTATTGTGGTGGTGGAGGTAGTGTGCTTGTATTGTGGTGGTGGAGGTAGTGTGCTTGTATTGTGGTGGTGGAGGTAGTGTGCTTGTATTGTGGTGGTTGTGGTAGTGTGCTTGTATTGTGGTGGTGGAGGTAGTGTGCTTGTATTGTGGTGGTTGTGGTAGTGTGCTTGTGGTGATGGAGGTAGTGTGCTTGTATTGTGGTAGTAACGTAGTGAGTTGTGGTATTGAGATGAATCTTGTATTGTTGTGAATTGTAGTGGGTTGTACGGTATATCTAGGAATTGTGGTGGATATGTTGGCGGTTGTTATGGTAGTGCCTGTGGTTGATGTACTGGTAGTGGTATGGATGGTGGTAGTTGTTACATTAATAGTGTTATGGCTGGTGATGGTAGTGATTGTTATATTAGTAGTCGTAAGGGTGGTGGTTTTTGTATTGATATATCAGTAATGGGATTTGATTCTTATATAAATATCCTGTGTGTGTTAGGCTGTAGTTTTGTGAGCGGACCATACGTATGTGTGTGTGTCACTCCTGAAAGCCCTTTAGAATATTCCTTTGATATTGGTAAAAATGTAATGCTTGCTTTGATAACATGAGGTGTGTCGGGGGGTCGTGCGATTTATCTAAACACACAGGCAGTTCATGTATTCCCCTTGATATTAGTATGATATTGTTGCTTTGATAGCCTGTGTGTGTGTGTGTGTGTGTGAGCTAGACAGGAACACTTGAGCCACTACTCTCGTCTCCCCAACAGTCGCCACCAGCCTTCAGAACATCATTCTGACTCAGATCCAGAATCTGGGTGGTGGACGGGGTGAGGGGTCAGTCCCCCCAATTCCAGGACCGCCCAGGGGGCCAAGACCGCCGCCTACAGTCCGCCCTCCGACCCACCCACCCACCCAGCCGCCGCCACCCCCTGCCTCCCCCACGGGAAATAACGGCCTTAACAGCAACGCCCAGGCTGCACTGGTGATCCTGCTGGCAGCACAGATGCAGATGCAGCAGCAACAGCACGTGCAGCAACAGCAGGCACAGAGAGCCTCACCGACCAATAACAACCTACTGGCCAGCCCACAAGTGCTGAACTTGTTACAGCTATTAGTACAGCAGGGAGACCCACAGTCCTCCCAGCACAGCACAGGTTCAGACCCCAGGAACGGCTACTCCTCCAACAAGACCATCAACAACAACAACACTACACCTACCAAGAGTAACTACAGGAACGGTTACAGCAAAAATGGCGTCAGCAAACCTACTAAGGTAAGTGACTGGCTGGCTGGTTGTAAGAGGTAACTTAGTTGGTCTGGTGGTTGATATATACAGTATAGCCGCCTGTTTAATCTGGTCCATTGTTTTGATTACAGTCAGCCTAAATGAGAATGTGGACTCACGTTCTGTGTATAAAAGTCGTCAGTTTAGGCATTACATAACTTAACTCTCAGGACTCGCTGGTGCTCTATAAGATTGAGAAGTAGTATAAGTTTGACCGTGTTTAGTGAAGGGCCTCGTGGTGGGTGTGAGCCGCCCTGCACAGATAGTGTTAACTGTGTTAATAAAAACTATTATTCCAGACACCGCTGCTGCCGACCCCAGCGTCTGGGAACTACAGTGGGGGGTCATGGGAGGAGGGGGGAGCCGGGACAGGTGGGGGGGAGAGTGAGGGGGGACTGGCCCCCCTATTGTCTGGTCTCCTGACGGCCCTGCCCGGCCTCTCCGCCACCAAGGCCACCAAGGATGACCTGCAGAGCACCATCTCTACACTCTTATCTAATGCCCACAGTCTGCAGCAGCTGTTGGGCAGCCTCACGCCATTGGAACAACAGCAGCAACAACAACAACAACAGCAGCAACAACATCATCACCATCATCATCAGCAGCAACTTCAGCAACAGCAGCCCCCACCTCCTCCTCCACCCTTGGCTGTCAGCCACCCCATGGTCTCTGCTGCCACCATGCTGCCCCACACCCACATCACCACCTCTGCCCCGCCCCCCATGTACCCCACCAACCCCCTCATGTCCATGTTGCTGACAGCCGCTGGCCAGGGCCCTAAGCCGCCCTTGTTGGGTGAGGGGCCCCTCCGTCATGACCATCCCAGGCTTACCACCCAATTGGCCCTCTCCTGTTGAACAGCCCCCACCTGGCACCCCCACCTAGAGCAGCCCCCACCTCCCATCTCTTCCGCCCCCACCTTCTTGTTTGCTTCACCTGTCTCCTCCCGGGTGACCACCACCTGGTCCCCACCACCCATGGCACCCCCTCCTACCCTAATCCAGCCTCCCATCCTACACCCAGCAGCTCTCCCCCACCACCCCCGTCTCCTCAACCCTCTCTACTTGACCCCAGCCAAGACCATGGGGCCGCCCCCACACAACTTCGGTCCTCCAGGATACAACACTCCCATTGGTCAGAAACGAAAGTCAAATCACATTTTGCCGTCTCCTGAACCCAGCCCAGAGAACGGCTACGTGGGCCAGCACTCACAGGGCATCGGCGGCCACTATGCAGACTCCTACCTCAACAAGAAGATGAAGAAGCACTGAGCACTTGTTGGCTCAGAGCTCAAACCCTGCATTAACACAAACACACCAACATACACACAGACATATACACACCTGACGGCAAGGTATTAAATAGCTCTTAGAGAGTTTCTTCCAGTTAAAAATATACAGACATGTTGCATTATTCTGTGCTTCAATACTTATGTTACAACAGACTTTTAAACAAGTGTAAGGAAGGTGTGTGTGAGAGGGGGCCAATAGCGCCCCACAATGCCGCCTCCCTCCTATTAATAATAATAATAATAAACGCCCTGAGTCTTAATACACGTTGGGACCAGCTTCATGAAGACAAGGTTTTGGGGACAACAAAGGTATGGGCTTTGTAGCGAGACGTTGTAGATGGTTAGTCTGTTAGAGAGACTCGACAAGTATATTGGGGATACTATTATTACTATTTAATTTTATGATTATATTAAGAGTATAACAGATGTATAAGAGGGCAGCAGTTGAGTTTACTGTACGTCGGCATTAACGTTGGGTAATATGATATACAGTTTAATGTATGGTGTATTATGTACCATTCTGTAGGTGACTGTATGATACCACTACCGTGCTCTACACACATAAGTATATATTTATTTCTGTATATAATGATTATATACAGTATAAGAGCAGTGTGTATTTCAGTGCATATATAGTGTATGTGCAGTTCAGTATACAATGGCATCACGTGTACAGTTCAGTATACAACTACAGTTCAGTATATAATGACATTATATATACAATTTAGTATATGATCACAGTTTATATACAGCTCAGTATATAACTACAATACATATACAGTTCAGTATATATTCACAGTATATCTATACAATTCAGTATATAACTAACAGTATATCCAAACCTTGAGACATGAGCAGTGTAGAACAATTCAACTTACACAACACTAAGTGCCTTTCAGAGCAACATTAGTCAATATTTTAGCTGCTTTTTAATTTATTCAGGCAATTTGTGAATATTGAATTTCTGATGAGCGGAAGTTTTTCTATGAAAGTCTTATTTTCATACTAGTGTGCTGAAGAACAGTGGCTGGAGGGCAACCCTTGTGTACGCTGAGGTGTGTTCGTTGACCAGACAGGGCGCACTATATGGGCTCTTATGCGAGTTTTATAACTACTGCTGTTGCTAAAGGCTGGTTCTTTCATTACCGGGAAAGTTCTCTACCTTTCCCTCATCCAGTCCAACATTTGTTCAGATGTATACAACAGTTACTGTATTACACATACACCTAACTATTTAATAACAATGTATTATGCCATACTGTTGAGGGCATTAATAGGTCTCTGGACATGTGTGTGTGTGTGTGTGTGGTTAAACTCTGAAGCCTTGAGGCATTATTATGTATAGTTCCCGGCACTTGACTGGTTGTAACTTGTATTATTATTAAGTGTCAACTGGCCAGGGGGAGATGCCCTGACCAGTCAGCTCGGGCCTTGAAGGGTTGTAAACAGCTGCTCAAGTTACAACCAGTGTAAGTGTCAGAACTACAGCTTTTAAGGGTGAGGCTGTATAGTTTTAATGTGACTCCTGGTTATTACCTGGCTCTGTGACATCAACTGTGTGGAATATTCCAGCACAAACCAGTACGAGTTGGTTATTTTAGGGGACTGTTGAACACGTGAGGAGCCTTGCGATCAGTGGTGAAGATAACTGTGTGCTGATCTCAGTCCCGCAGCTTGTGTAAACCCGACAAGTCCTGGCCAGCCGGTCTCTACACACGAGTCTGGTGTAGAGGCTGTGTTGTCCATCACCTGTAAGGGGAAATTGATGATTGAATTAACTAAATCAACATTAATAAGTTTTTCAATGTTATAAAAAAAGTGGGATTGCCGTAGCATTATTAGGATTATAAAGACGTGTTAGTTAGTGAAGACTATTTGAGACATGACTGTTTGAAATGTCAAGCTGGTGACTTTTTATGTAAACACAAATTTAGATTTTAGCATTGCATCTTCTCTCTCTGTCCCTAATGTGAGTTAATTATCAACATATCCGTTGGCGGAACTAAGGAGCTTGTATATAGGTGAGGAGACGAGCCAAGCTGAGCCATTAATACGACCATCATTTTCTATTTACAGTAATGTTGAGGTTAAACAAACACTGTCCCTTGATGGGTCACGCTGGCAAGTCCCTCACGTGGGTTGTGTTAAAACATGTGTCCTTCTTGCATTGAACTTCAGGGAACATGGTGAATGTTTATAAGTCTGTGTTTCTCCTCGGTACTCTACTGAACACGTTAACTGAGGATTATATTCTATTTTTAGCTGAGGATTAATACAAACATTCCCAGCTATATTAGACAGCTACTACACGACCAGTGGTGGTGGTTGTGAGCCACCTGTTACTACAGGTGGTGGTGAGGCACCTGTTACTACAGGTGATTGTGAGCCACCTGTCACTACAGGTGGTGGTGAGCCACCTGTTACTACAGGTGGTTATGAGCCACCTGTCATGATTCACACATTTGCTTTCGTAGGTGAAATGCCTTAACTTAGTACAGTATAACTGGTCGGGTGAAATTTGGAGATGAGTGAGAGGGTGAGGTAACACTGGTCGGTAGTGGGCTCTAAGGGGTACAGGGCATTAATACAAGTTAGCTATAAACTTAGATGTATATACGTTCTTAATATATTATTTTCTAGTTTATTAAATGGCCTGTTTTTGCCATGAAAATAAATTATATGGTGTTGAGGCAAATCGGCAGTAAAAAAATGCTATTGATTTGTACTTTTGCAATGATATTTTAGGTTTTTTTCATCATCTCTTTTAAGTTGCCTAAATGGTGACAGATGTAGAGTTATCATGCAAGGTGATGCGAGGCAGTGCAGGGAATGTGAACACAAGGAATGTCTTCATAACTTAAATTTGGAATCACCGGAAGCCGTTTGGGTCATGCGATAGGTGTTGTAGCAAACAGTACACCGCTCCCTCTCTCCCGTGCTCCTCCATGCATCGCCTCGTGTTGTCTTAAGCCACAGCCTCGGTGTCGTGGCTTCCTTCACTAAACTGTCATCTTTCTACCCCTACTACACCTCTCTAGCCAATATTGCCACCACCATTACTGAGAGTGGAGCAGCTATTTGTAGACAATCAGATCTGTTGACCGGACAAACTGTTCTGGGGTGTTGATGACCACGAGTTCATTAATCTTGTGGTTATATAAATGTTAAATATTCTGATGGTAATATTGGCCGCACATAAACTGCCTTGCTTATTCTATCTTTTTACGTTGTTGATAATGTTAACTTTTTTCCTGATACAGTTGTTAGTTCCATTTGCATGTATATTTTTAAGTTGAACCAGGAACGCCTTTGAACGACCCGACCGTGAGCTTTGATATTCTCTCCAGATTTTCTGATCAACGCTTTATTTTAAATATGAGTATGTCAGAACGAGAGCTGAACCTTAAACACACACTAAAGTAACCATAGCCGCTGATGATGGCTTTAACTGTAGTAGCATTAATCCATTGGTGTTTATTCGAAGTTAAAATTTTTGACGCCGTGTGTTTCTGGATAATCTAAAGGTTGATTTCTGTGTCAAAAGACTAGTGTTTGCGACTTTTTTATATACAGAGTATTAATATTACAGATTTTTCTCCCGTCTGCATTAACAACACTTTGTAAAATATCTTAAGACTTAACTTTGACCTTCAGCAGACTATAATTATATCAGTATAGATTATATTTTCACTTTACCCAATATAATATAATCTAGGGGGAAGTTATACAACACCTAGTGCGAGTACAAGTCAGTTGAGACTGAGTTAAGTAGCAGCCGAACCGCCGCCACTCGGGGGACGACCCCCTTGTTGGATATACTTATGAACAAAACTTCTATATTTGTCTTCTAAGATGAGTTTCCTTTATATTATTATTTCTTAAAGATGGTTGTTGGGGTAACCTTGGAGATAATCAGCTGTTACTCGAGTTTAAGTTTATTATCTTGTACTGTAATTTATTTCCTGTGTGGCCATGTAGATGATGGCGACAGTTTGTGGCACCACTGCACTTTTTGATGTTCTCGCCATCTTGTAATACGTGACTGGCGAATTGAACTTGGACAAATCTTCATTATTTATTATTGACCAGCAAAAATTCTCACTTTATTTATATTTTGGTTCAAACATTTCTTAACTATACTTCAAGAAGGATGCTGAAGACGTTGACTAATTTACGTAGATGAATGTAGATGATCCTTATTTCCTCCTGTACGGTCCGCTCTTTAACCCCATCGTCACGTGGAGAAGCTTAACCCATGTTTGGTTTACTTGTTGTAGATGAATACCACGGAGCTGCAGCAGATAACTTTAAGTAAAAGATGAAAATTAATCATCCTTTAAAAATTAGCCAACGTCTGCTACTCCTGACATAATGACATATTGTGAATTTTAAAATCTTCGATATTCTTCCCTGTAGGATTTTATTTAGCAGCTTCTAGTTATTACCAAGTGAATGACGCTTAGTAAAATCACTTCTCTAATCAATACTGCGGAAGCCATTAGGCAAGTGAGTAAAGCCATTGATACAGTCACAACTTGCTGGTGGTCCTACTAAGTATGACACAAC